AATTATACTGAGAGTGTAGGCCCCCGGGGAACAGCAGCCTGAGGCCGCGCCTTTTATTGCACTAAAGCGAAGGATCGGTTCAGCACTGAGTCCATCACAACCGACGGATGCAGGGACTGTGGTCAATTTTTGTTGCTTGCCCGGGTTTATGCGCTCGGGCTCCTCACATTAAACCGACATTGTGTCACAACCTGACCTCGTGGGGGTTGAGTAAATACAAATTAATCCTTAGAGTGGTTTGTAACACATCTATTTATAATCTCTCAGTTGCGTCTCTGTCTTTGGGCAGAGTGCGCTCAGGGGCTTCTCTGTCAAAGGACGTGGGGGGGGAGGGCAACTGAGAAAACCTATACTGAGAGGTACCCAGCCCTGGGGAAGAGCAGCCCAATGCCACGCCCTCTCATTGCACCAGAGAGAGGAATCGGTGTTCGCACCGAGGCCAGCGCAACCGACGGTTGCCGGCGCTGCGGTCAATTTTTGTTCCTTGCCCTGGTGTACGCGCTCGTGTGCCCCACTTTAAAAAATAACCTTGTGTCACAACTCGCCTTAGTGGAGAGACAGAGTAAATACCTTGCCCGGGGATGTAACAGTAAGAGATAGATCAAGTATCGACCATCATAAAGATTGAAAAATAAAATTGAAAAAGATTATTGTTTAAGGTTGACGGACACGCATGTCTTAATTAGTTTTTTTTTTTTGTTTTTTTTTACGAATTGGTCAAACCCAAACTCAAACAAAAACATTGTTTTCAATCGTTATGAGTCTATCGATTGAATAGAATTTTATTATAAACAATTGTCTTGTAAATGGAATTTTTAAAGCATTCTGAATGTAAAAATAAAGTAAAAAGTGTGCAAGACAATAAGAAACACTACCTGCCAAAAAAGTGAAGTTTTGTTGAAATCGGTTGAAAAATGTAGGAAATCCGATCCCATATATAAACGAACACACACACAAACAACCTGGGTTTTATAATAAGTATAACTCGATATGAGTTGTTCCCCTTTCATTCTCGACAGCGATGCCTCTTAATCGTGTTTTCAAATTGATTTCGTGCAAAAACAATTGTGGTTTTCTAATTTTTGGCGCTGTCAGAACCACAGCAAGGTAATTTTACGTAGTCCTGTGAAGTTTTGTTGAAATCGGTTGAAAAATGTAGGAAATCCGATCCAATATATAAACGAAACACACACACACACACACACTGGGTCTTATAATAAGTATGATATCTATTATGTGAAACTGAAATCTTTTTTCAGGTGATATACGCTGGAATTTCGAACTGAACCCTTTATTTCTTCTACTGCGGTAGATCGTTCTAGTTCCACGTGCCATGCCTCTTCTGGATATCTCAGCTTCAGTTATTTCCCAATAGTAACTCCAATAAAAGCCAAGCCCTAGATTTTCTAGATAAATAGATAGATAGAAACAGACTAAAATAGATAGATAGATAGATAGATAGATAGATAGATAGATAGATAGATAGATAGATTACTTCAACCACTGGGCCAAGGAGACACGTAAAATGTAAGTAGTGTAAATAGTTACAATATCTCATCACAGAAATACAGACAGATGCAAATAATTCAGCAATTATTTATCGCATATACTATCATGCGATTCTGAAGACCTAATTTTGTAGCTAATTTTAAGAGGGTCGCATCATACATGAGAAATAAAATTAGCGCACGTACTGCTAGCACAAACTACGTCGTTGACCAAACTATATATCCTTTTACTGTAGTCAAATTAGTTTCAAAATTAGGTCTTCAAATAATCACATGATAACGGGAGTATATACGGTAAATAAAATTTTCAAAACTTCCTTCCTAAAATAAATTATATTTTCAAATTGATTGTAAACATTTTTGGAGCTTTTTGTATGGCGTTAGAAAGATTTCGTGTTCATTTAATTTTTTTCTCGTTTTTTTTTTTTTTTTTTTTTGAAACCGACATTTTTTATACATTTAATATGAGTTTTTGAGTTACAATATGACAGAATTAATTAGCAAAAATGTTATTTTTTTTTAAAGCATTACAAGGAATTTCTGTTTGTGCTTATGTAGAACTGGATGTTCTTGGACACAAAAAATGGGTCACAATGAAGAAACACTTCTCTGGAACTCAAAGGAGATCATTTACAAAGCAACACACTCGATGTATTAGTCACTCACGATTTAAAAAAAATGCTGACAAGGGAATTGAAACATTAAATTGGTTGTCTTAAGTTTGGATTTTACAGGCTTAATTATGAGGTCGGCAGTTTTCAGCTTTTTATAATATATAGTAAATATTACACTAGAACATCTAATTGTAAAGGACGTTTAAGGATAATTGAAGCATGTCAAAACACTTAATTTTTAATTATATTGCGAATCTATATGAATTAAATTAAAATTACTATTTATATACCATTTTTATGTCCTTCATTCTAAATTGACAAATTTGGCTACCCAAAAATACCAGTAAATGTTTAATATTTGTTGTTGGCTTTTTGAAGCGTTTTCCGCCGATATAAACTCCCACGGAATTCATCAGATCGTAAGCAAATAAATATACAAATATTGGTGGTATCCTATAATTAGATGGTAATAGTTATCTCCCCTTGAAAATATTCTTTTCGCATGCAGACTCCATCTTATTAGGAAAGAAAGAATGAAAGAAAGACGTGAAGATAGGAGTGTAGAAGATACATACATGCATATATATATATATATATATATATATATATATATATATGTATGTATATGTGTGTGTGTGTGTCTGCCTGTGTATGTATCTTCAAAATGAGAATCAGTGACGTGATCTTTGTTAGAGATGTAGACAGAAAATAAAGAGATATAGTCGATTAACTAAGGAATTGTTCAGAAAGGGTTCAGACCCAAAAGTATACTCATATATATATATATATATATATATATATATATATATATAAAAACAAAGATCACGTCACTCATTTTGAAGATACATATATATGTGTGTATGAAGAAAAAATATACGGAAAAAACAAAAATCCTAATATGCAATTATGCTGTTTTAATGTTAATTTAATGTCGACGTCAGACGTTTCGGTCTAGTAGACCTTCTTCAGGGCATTAAACTAACATTAAAACAGCATAGTTGCATATTCAGATTTTTGTTTTTCCGTATATTTTTCTTCATACTGTCGGATCTATATCCATATATTTGCTTACATATGTGTGTATGTATGTATGTATGTATGCATTTTCAAAATGAGTAACGTGATTTGTTTTATTTATATATTTTGATGTGGACTTTTTGGGACTTAATATATATATATATATATATATATATATATATATATATATATATATATATATATATATATATCGTCAGGTATAATAATTTCTGTGATGTGGGGCCAAAGTTTGGACCACAGCAGGAAAAACACGGAACATGGATTAGATGTAAGAAAGATATATTAACAACAGGTTACAGAGATAGTGTAAGCGGAGCTTACTATATGTTAGTGTCCAATATTGGTAGTCGTGCGCGGCTCTCACTGTCTCTCTGTCGAGTGTTGTTTCGCATACTTAATATAGACCTGGAAGAGTCTATTGTGTAGGTAGTTCCGGTCTCACAATATTCTGTTATCTTAATTCTCTGTTGCCAGTTCACACCGCACGTATGTCTCATTTTTTAAGACCATACTCTTTGCCAATACCTAAAACATAATGGACTATTCCGTTTTATTCAAGGGAAAAAAGCGGGAAAGCATATCCGAGACGCTACTTGGTTTCAGTAAGAAAAAGAAAGAAAGAAAGAAAGAAGGAAGGAAGGAAGGAAGGAAGGAAGAGAAGATAGAAGTGTCTAACGTCTCCTGCAAATACCTCATAAATAATGGGCTATTTATTTTTGATCGCGTGGAAAGACGAAAAAGACATATCCGAGACGCTAGTGAGAAAATAAAGGAAAGAAAGAATGAAAGAAAAAAGATAGAAGTGCTTAACGTTTGTTTCAGTAAAATAGCAAAAGTTCAATTTAATATCTCTTTCACTTGTAGTCCTTTGCTTATTTAAATAATTGCCAGGATTTCTATTTATAATAGTTACTGCTATATTTAACCGTTAATCAAAAATATTTAACAATGTGATTGGCGAATTTCTACGGATATTTTATTGTCGTAGAACTCGCCATGAGCTTATTCAATCATGAACTGAAGAATTAAGATTCATCAGAAAATTAAAATAGGAAAAGCGTGAAATTATCACGGGTCTTTCTAGTTTTGTTAAAGTTGTTAAGACCCAATAAGATTCTGCATTGTTATTGATCCTGATCTAGCATCTCGGCTTCAGTTACATTGCCACTATCATAACTTAGTTTCCTTGGTTCTTTTCTATGAAGATTTTCATTGTTCATTATTCTGATGAACTTTCCATTTCTGTGCCGAGACATTACGTGCAGTACTTTTGTTAATCATTTCACCTCAAGCAAGGCGGTAGTGCCACAAGTACGCAGAGGACCACAGAGAATGAAAGTGAAAGAGAAAACTGAGCAATTAAGGAAAGGATAAAAGATGGACGGCATTCAAGAAAAGAAGATGTCGATTGACGTTGCATTTAAATTTTTGAAGATTGTAGTTATCAGGGAAGCAAGTAAACGGAAGGGAGTTCCATGGGTGGGAAGGGTGAGAAAAGAAACTGTTGGAGTAGAAGTGGTGGTTGAATTTAGCTATTTCGACAGTAAAAGAGTGGGACCTAAATGCCAGTCTAGTAGCTTAAATTCATATAATCGGGACACCAAGTAAGACAAAAAAAGAAGAAGAATCAAAGAAAGTAAGATGAAAGGAAAGAAAGAGAGACAAAGAAAGAAAAGAAGATGGGCAAAGGGACAACGAAAGAAAGACAGACGAAAGGTAATGAAAGAGAGAAAGACGAATAGAGATTGTCGAAAAGAGAGTAAAAGAGTGTGAGTAATGATAACAGCAAAATTGCGATATGAGCACTGGTAAAAATGGTTGCTGAAAATGGTTTCCTCAGGCTTCTTTTTTCCTCACTTTTCCTCTTTCTTTTGTTGTCCCTTTTCCCCTCTTCTTTTCTTTCTTTGTCTCTCTTTCTTTCCTTCCATCTTTCTTTGATTCTTCTTCTTTCTTTGTCTTTCTTTGCCTTTCTTTCTTTGCCTCACTGCCTTTCTTTTTTGTCCCCCTCCTTTTTTTCTTTGTCTCTCTTCCTTTCCTTTCGTCTTCTTCTTTTTTGATTCTTCTTCTTTCTTTGCCTTTCTTTGCCTCTCTTTCTTTACCTCACTGCCTTTCTTTTTTGTCCCCCTCCTTTTTTTCTTTGTCTCTCTTCCTTTCCTTTCGTCTTCTTCTTTTTTGATTCTTCTTCTTTCTTTGCCTTTCTTTGCCTCTCTTTCTTTACCTCACTGCCTTTCTTTTTTGTCCCCCTCCTTTTTTTCTTTGTCTCTCTTCCTTTCCTTTCGTCTTCTTCTTTTTGATTCTTCTTCTTTCTTTTGCCTTTCTTTGCCTCTCTTTCTTTACCTCACTGCCTTTCTTTTTTGTCCCCCTCCTTTTTTTCTTTGTCTCTCTTCCTTTCCTTTCGTCTTCTTCTTTTTGATTCTTCTTCTTTCTTTGCCTTTCTTTTGCCTCTCTTTCTTTACCTCACTGCCTTTCTTTTTGTCCCCCCTCCTTTTTTTTTCTTTGTCTCTCTTCCTTTCCTTTCGTCTTCTTCTTTTTTGATTCTTCTTCTTTCTTTGCCTTTCTTTGCCTCTCTTTCTTTACCTCACTGCCTTTCTTTTTTGTCCCCCTCCTTTTTTTCTTTGTCTCTCTTCCTTTCCTTTCGTCTTCTTCTTTTTTGATTCTTCTTCTTTCTTTGTCTTTCTTTGCCTCTCTTTTTTTACTCCACTGCCTTTCTTTTTTGCCCCCTCATTTTTTTGGTTGTCTCTCTTCCTTTCTTTTCTTTCTTTTTTTTTTTTTTTATTCTTCTTTCTTTGTCTTTCTTTGCCTCTCTTTCTTTACCTGGCGTCAGAGTAGTTGCCATGAAAATATTTGTAGAAAAGAGAGAGAAACCACGACATGACGGTGAGAAAGTGACTGAAGTCGAGATGCCAGGTCAAGATAGATTACATTGCAGATCCTTTTAGATTTTGTCAAGAAACTTGATATGAATATCACACTATTCGGAGTTACATTCATTCTATAGTTTTTAAAAGTACTAAATATATTTTTTTTATCTGTGTAAAATGTAGATAGCTATATGGACATATGTATAGATACATAGGTATAGAAAAATTCTTCTTATTATTATTATTGTTCGTCTATTAATAAATATTAATGTACTCGTCAGACCCAAACAGCAATCTGGAGCTGGCATTACCAAACACCCACTTAAAAGTTACAGAAATATCTCATTTATGAAAAAACGTACAAGATTTTTTTTTGCTTCGTTTTTGTTTGGGGTTCTATAAATAAAAAAGATGATAATTTCTTTTTGACACAAGGTCTTGGAAAATGTAAGTTTCTTGAAAAGCTCTTTCGAAATAATTTTTTTATTTTTTTGGTTGGTTTTGTTTTGTTCTGGAATCCGATACCAATTTTTTCGCGAAAAATAACTTGATTATTGCGTCTTCGAAATTCGCCAATTGGCAAATGAATCAACAACTCATTCTGGGTATATTTTTCCTCTCCCTTCACAATCAACATTTTTGAATGTGCAAAATTTTGTTTAAGACAAACCTTCGGTCAGACGAGGTTGACTATTGTTACAAATGTTTCTTTCTAACATTATGTTTTGTCGTTTTCTTATTTTTTTTTTTTTTTTTTACTTTCTTAATTATTTTTATGAAAGTCTGTCTTTTGTGATTTTAGATTCACGCCTCCTCCCCCCCTCCATGAATATCACATTTATTTATTTTTTTTTATTTTGTCTATTTTTCTGGGCTTTTCTCAGGTTTCTTTTTTCCTCACTTTTCCTCTTTTTTGTTTTTCTTTTCGTCTTTCTTTTCTTTGCATCCTCTCTCCCCCCCCACTCTTTTACTCTCTTTTCGACAATCTCTATTCGTCTTTCTCTCTTTCTTTAACTTTCGTCTGTCTTTCATTGACCCTTTGCCCCCTCTTGTTTTCTTTCTTTGTCTCTCTTTCTTTCTTTTCATCTTACTTTCTTTGATTCTTCTTCTTCTTTTGTTTTTCTTTGCCTCTCTTTCTTTACCTCACTGCCTTTCTTTTTTGCCCCCCCTCTTTTTTTTCTTTGTCTCTCTTCCTTTCCTTTCGTCTTAAATATTTTCTTCTTCTTCCTTCTTTGCCTTTCTTTGCCTCTCTTTCTTTACCTCACTGCCTTTCTATAATCCCCCCCTCCTTTTTTTTTTTGTCTCTCTTCCTTTCCTTTCGTCTTACATTTTTTCTTCTTCTTCCTTCTTTGCCTTTCTTTGCCTCTCTTTCTTTATCTCACTGCCTTTCTTTTTTGCCCCCCCCCCCTCACCTCCTTTTTTCTTTGTCTCTCTTCCTTTCCTTTCGTCTTCTTTATTTGATTCTTCTACTTTCTCTGTCTTTCTTTGCCTCTCTTTCTTTACCTCACTGCCGTTCTTTTTTTTTTTTTTGTCCCCTCTTCTTTTCTTTCTTTGTCTCTTTTCTTTTCCTTTCGTCTTACTTTCTTTGGTTCTTCTTTCTTTGTCCATCTTTACCTCTCTTTCTTTAATTCTCTTCCTTTCTTTCTTTGCCCCCTCTTCCTTTCTTTTCGTCTTTCTTTCTTGGCATCGCTTCCTTTGATTTCTTCTTTCTTTCCTTCTCTTTCTCGTTTTCGTCTTTTTTTCTTAACCTTGATCCCTTTCTTTGCCTCTCTACTTTTCCAATTCCAGTCCTGTTCGTTATATTCACTTAACGCGCAAATTCTCTTGGCAAATGTATGAATCCACGTCTTCTCCACCCCAGCTATGGGTTAAATTGTAGGAATCGTATCACTAAATCATTAAAATCAGTAAAATGTTGATAAACCGTCAAATAAATCTCAATCAATAACTCAACCCACAGTGGAGCCCAAGTCACGTGCCTTACCTGCTATACTTTACATACGCGACGAAAAAAAGAAAAGTAAGTTGTAATGTAAATCTCAACCCTCTATTAAATTGAATAAATAAATAAAAACATATGGATTTGTTATGAATACACTCCAGCAGGTGCACAGGATCGCCTCATCAGTGATGCTATGACTTGGGGTTTCATGACAAGTTTCGGGTCTTTCAAAATCATACTTGTTTACCCTAGAGCCCCTCCCGAAACAATACACATTCCGGCAGGCGATCCTGAAGCAAATTTCTACCAAGAAAACAACAACGGACATATAAATAACTGCCATGGCTGATCTTGAAATAGCAAGCGACCAATCAAAAACGGCCTATATCATATCCTCCTCAGAAACAAAGGGCGACTACTCTGCTTCATTCACATTTAGCTTCCCCTTGTCTTTTTGTACAAATATTTTCATGGCAGTTGTTGAACTTTCTTCTTTGGTACTTCAACTCGAAATATACATAATATCTTACATTAATTGCACATCTCTGAGTTTCATGCCGAAGCAATAAATAAGAATAAATATAATAATCCCATCACTTGAAATTTGCTTCGGCATGAAACTCGGAGTCTGCAATTAATATAAGACAGTATATACATTTCTTCATATATATATATATATATATATATATATATATATATATATATATATATATATATGGTATAAAATGACAATTGGAAAAAAAATCTCAGATTTTGCCAACGCGTTTCGTCTTCTGACTTTTTAAAGGAAAAAATGAAATCGAAATGTCTTTGTTGTTATAGTTACATTAAAAAATACAAATTTAGAAAGATAGCTTAGCTGCTTCTGTCTAAGCCTTTTTCTGGTAAATGTAAATTTCTTTTATACATATATTACAATGAATCATTCATACAAAGATAAATTAGTAAAGTTAGTGATATAAAATAGCGAAATCACTTCGCTAACTAAATTTTAAAAATGCATTAACCCACTAACCACTCGATGAATGTTATGCTCCTTGTTCTTTGAAATTATAAACTGTATTAGGTCTTCCTTAAATGTACAAGTACTTTCGACTGGTTCTTCGGTCATCATCTAGCATGGAAACGATTCTTCATCGACATGTGTTTATTTAAATTTTCTTGTCACAGACATTTTTATAAATTTACTAGGTGTAGAGCCCGGCGTTGCCCGGGGATGTAACATTAAGAAATAGATCAAGTATCGACCATCATAAAGACTGAAAAATAAAATTGAAAAAGATTATTGTTTAAGGTTGACGGACACGCATGTCTTAATTAGTTTTTTTTGTTGTTGTTTTTTTTTTACGAATTGGTCAAACCCAAACTCAAAGAAAAATATTGTTTTCAATCGTTATGAGTCTATCGATTGAATAGAATTTTATTATAAACAATTGTCTTGTAAATGGAATTTTTAAAGCATTCTGAATGTAAAAATAAAGAAAAAGGTGTGCAAGACAATAAGAAACACTACCTGCCAAAAAAAAGTGAAGTTTTGTTGAAATCGGTTGAAAAATGTAGGAAATCCGATCCCATATATAAACGAATACACACAAACAACCTAGGTTTTATAATAAGTATAACTTGATATGAGTTGTCCCCCTTTCATTCTGGCGACAGAATCATGTTTAATCGTGTTTTAAATTGATTTCGTGCAAAAACAATTGTGTTTTTCCAATTTTTGGCGCTGTCAGAACCACCACAAGGTAATTTTACGCAGTCCTAGGAAATGTAGGAAATCCGATCCAATATATAAACGTACACACACACACACACACACACACACACACACACACACACACACACACACAATCTGCGTTTTATAATAAGATGCATAAAAAATTCTTCTCATATTTATTTCTTCATAAAATGGTAAATAATAATTCTTCACATATTTTTTATAATTTTGTATATATAAAATTTCTAATATAAAATTATCCTTTTATATAAAGAATTTTTTTAATGAATTCATCCCAAGGATGGCGGAATTTCCACTATCACGCAAGAGGTTACAGAGAGTGAGAGCAAGAATAAATAGGGGTATTTGAGGAAAGTATATAGAGAAGATCGGGAATCAGGATTGAGGTATCAGAAGA